TTGTGTTGACAGCTAAGCTCTGGTGTACGTAAATACCATATAACCGGAGCATCCAGCTCACGTTTTGAGATCCAAATGTTCGGCGATGAGAATTGCTGTGGCATGTTGGGTAACGAACTCAAGTGCTCTCTGTGGGAATGGGTTGGGGGGTTAAACTCATAGTGCATCCGAAAGAGTTAGGGAAAGGTGAGGGGAAAGGGGGCAGGAGGCCTTTCAGTCATTTCTTGTCGTTGCCGTCTTGCTGGATTCTAGCGTGGCCTTTTGCCGGGACTATCTATATCACGTTACCAACCTTTGCTATCATCCCAGTGATGGGGTGGTATTGGTGGTTATGCGTTTTAGTCCTGTCATTATCGAGTCACTTGTTTTCCCTATTTGCTGTCAGTCATATCTTGTTGTGAGTCCTGTCGGTCATGTGCATTTTGTATGCATGCTGTGGAATAAGATGGTTTTGTGTATGAATCCCCGGAGTATATGGACGCACCCAACTAGGTGTATGCGTACATGCACTTGAGTACTCATACACGCAGACAACACTACATATTTGCACGTCCTTTCATACTTATCCGTGTATGTATACCTAAGTGACATTACGTACACACGCAAACTCTTTCATGTGCGTCTACTAATGCCTGTACATCCACGCGTAGTGATATTCACTCTTCCATGTCTTGTGCGTTTTTGTCGCTACGTCTGTAATTTCGTCTGGTCGTGTCACTTTTAAGTTATGTCCCGTTACTGGTATGTGACCTGTCCGGTACTGTTTTATCATGTTCTGGTAGATGGTGTGTGTTGATGACGTTCTTGCTGCGTACACACTTCATTCCATTTGTTCTCATTAATTAACAGACATGCAGCAACACAATTTATGGGTTCTTTGAGTGCACTGTCATTCATTCACACACAAATATATAAATATACTTGCTCCCATATATACTTGCATACCCACATATACATGCACACAGTAATACATTTCTATATCCATGTACTCGTTCATCTTTACCTTTCGCACAGCTATATTCCCACTGTCCTGTCCATACGTGATCCCTTACCATCCGCCTACATACACCGTGTCTTATGTATCCATCCTATACATAAATGCACTCATACTACACGCACTCATCCTTGTGTATGTATCCATGTTCACATCTATGCACTCATCATACTTACACTACCTCCCTTAGGCTAGGGAGTCAAGAGTTACCATCTGATCAATTCCTTCTGCTGTACTAAGTAAATCCTTAATCTGGTTTTTTTAGTTTTTGATTCATTTAATAAGGAACTGTTTAACCAGTTTTTGGATGTCTTTGTTGCTATCTACCATTAAACATTTGTTTTGCAGTAATCTGTTGTTTGCGTTTTAGAAAATACTCCTCAATGGGTTTCCTCTCCAATTTTTATTTAGTGCAGTTTATTATATAATGCTCTATTGTATTATTTTGAAAGCAGTTCAGACATAGTGGAGATGTAAATTTCTCTGGATGCCACCCTAACCTAGCTCTCCATAGTAGTTTCTTAGCTGGGATTTTCAGTTTGTCCCGTACCTGTGTGTTAAGGCTGGGCTCTTTAAGGTTGTTGTAGGCATCTCTGCCTTTAATGCTCCCTTGTCATTGCAGTTTCCACATTTTAATTATATGATTATGCTATTTCTTTCAGCTTTTCCGAATTCTTCATCTACTAAAACGTCACATTTAGCTCCTTTTTTGGCTGCTTGGTCAGCTTTTTCATTGCCTATTACACCTCTGTGTGCTGGTTCCCATGCAATGGTGACTTGGCATCCTTTATTATTGAGCTGGGTTGTTAGATTTAAGATTGTTTCTTTAATATCTGGCCTACTGCTAGTTTTATGTGTTTTTAATGTCTGCACTGAGGACAATGAATCTGTCAGTATGGTAAATTTAGTTGGAGGTTTATTTATTACCTTCACTAGTGCCTTCATTGTGCCGACTAGTTCTGCTGTGCATACTGCCACATGATCTGTTATTTTATATTCTCTTTGCACATTCCACTGTGGGATTATTACTCCTGCTTCTACTTCTCGTGCTTCATTCTTAGATCCGTCAGTGTATGCAACCAGATTGTCTGATCGGATCTGGTCTATGTATTCTTCTGGTATTGTTTTGGCTTCAAATTTTTCAGTATTCTTATTAATAATTTTCATCAGACTCATGTCTGTCCTGGGCAGTTTTAGTCTCCATGGAGGGATTTGAGGGACAAACCTAACGCTTGCCTCTAGAGTCCTAGCTAAGTCCTCATCGTCGTTAATTTCTAGTGCAGCGTCCCAGGCTGCTGGTCTCTGTATATCTCTGACCGGTCTGTCACCTAGGTGGGTAATGTTATGATAAAAAGCGTCGGAAGCTGGGTGTCTGGCATCGTTGGCCGCTTTCATCCAATAGCTATAAGTTAGTTGTTTCCTTCTGAGGTTAAGCGGTGTTATGCCTATTGCTACCTTCATGGCCTCTCTCGATGTCCCTTTGCCAGAGCCCATGATGGAAGTCAGAGCTTGGCACTGAATCCTATCAAGTTTGCATTTGCTGTTCTCTGATGCTGATTCTTATACTACGCTTCCGTATTCCATTTTGCCCCTAACGAAAGCTTTATAAAATTGTATTAGGGTGTCCTGGTGTGCTCCCCATCCGTTTCCTGTAATCATTCTCAGCATATTATTGTACTTTTTGCACTTTACTACAAGATCATCAATGTGCTTAGCCCAGGTCATTTGCTCATTCAGAATCATTCCTAGAAATTTCGTCGAACGTGTCCGCTGAACTGTTCTACCATTAATTTGGAGTCTCGTTTCTTCTGGGTCATAATTAAGCTGTCTTTTAAAGTTAAATATCATGCTTACTGTTTTGTCGACGTTGATTTTAAATCCCCATTTTCCCATCCAATGTGCTATTTCGTCTAGACTTTTCTGTAGTCTTTTTTTTTTAGCGCAGGGGATCTGCTTATGGCTGTGGTAGATTGCACAATCGGTTTGAGCTGAGATCCTTTCCACTTTATGTAAGATATGCAGATGTGTATTAGTTATGTTGACATTAAAAGCAGAAACCGTCGATCTCACCGCAAAAATAATCAGAAAGTAAAACGTGCCGGGGCCAGAAAATCATTACTGAAATCGGAAAGAATAGGCTGAATACATTTTCGAATTCTCTACTCGAACTCTGCCAGTGTGAAACAAAGATGACCTATCCCGGACAAATCAATATATAGTACTAACGTGATTGCTCTACATAAAACACTACTCGGTGAAAACACTGATACTCACATGTTTTAGTACGTTTCAACAAAAGCTTCCCTGAAGACAGTCTATTCTCATGAGATCATATCGAAGCCCATGAAGTTGACATGTCTAGATGGTAAGATGCCAGCCTCCAGTTACAAGCTGTCGCAACACATGCGACACAGTCTTTCCTGCTGGTTAATGTCGACACTGCAATGGTAAAGTAAGCAGAGAAAAGTGGATGTCTTCAAAAAATAATGCAAACAGAAAGGAATGTTGTTTTCTGTGGCGATTTTAGCGCAGTAGTTCAACAAACAGGCAAGGGGACGATCTGGAAGATGCCATAGTGGAAATTTACCTAGTCTGCCTAGACGATGGTCTCTACGCAAGAAACAAGTTATGAGAGCTGCAAACTTTTAGCAAGGCCTACATGCAATGTTATATCATACGTTAGTTCTTTCCGCCATTATGACACTCAGCACCACACAGATAAACAGGCTGGAACAAAATCGAGAACGAGGCAATGTGTATTATTCTTGAAGGCTTTAGAGACACCTCCTGTAAATCCATGCGATACCCTGTGGATTTGCCCACAGTGGAAAACAGAATCAAGCTATCAAGAGCTGTTGCTTTCCTCGGAGTGAAGTCAGACCCTCGACACCCTCCCTCTTCATGCGGAATTATTCAAGAACGAGGCAAATCCTAGATGGGTCGTGCTAAGGACACCATCGAACATGTTTGCTTCCTCGCTGATATTAATGGTGGGATTGAATAGATACCCATGCCTCCTGCTGCAAACATTAACATTACAATCCACATCACACTTTATGGTGTAGAGAGCAGTTTCCCGGCCTTCTGGACACGTTTGTCAGAACACTGATTGACGATAACACAGATGAAGGCGATGCTATAGTTTACAAATAAATAGAAAAACAATCAAGGAGATAAATGGCGCCTTTGCTGTTACAACATGTAGCCTTACAATACAAAACTATGGCTGTAACAAGAGCATTAACATGGCTTGGGACTCAAGAGTTCAGACATTAGTGCATACTTAGAGAGCGATGAATTTTCTAAAAAAAAAAATATCAGTGCTGGTTTTATCAGGCGAGAATGGATAGCAATACTAAACACTTCGCTAATGGCTGCCCGAATCTTCATTTTTGTGCCACATTATGCCGGTATTCAGGGAAAAAACCGTGCAGATTTTCTTGCTGACACTGCGGTTGCTATGGCTGGTATATTACTGGATAGAAGCGACGTTATCAATGCCATGCTCCTGCACTTATCGTGCCGAAGAGCACGCCAAAGGATATGACTCCGTATCCCTGTCTAGGCTGATAGACATGAGCGTACAGCCTGGAGCTGCAAGAAATGAACATTTCACTAAGAGGACAAGACCAACACAGAACAGGCGTAATCAGTCGTTTTACACTTTTTGGAGCTTTTGAGGAGGAGATCGGAGCATCTATGGATCTTTCCAAATTGCCGTAATGATAATAATCCTTTCTAATCACTAATCCTTGGTCCCTCTCCTCTCAAGTGAATGCACCCCGACTTCGTAGGAAACACCACTTATTGTCGCTTCTTACGAAATGCTTGTTGGGAACAGAGGGTCTTGTTGGGAACAGAGGGTCTATCTCCCTTTCCCTACCCCTTCCGCTTTTTTTTTTTGGGGGGGGGGGCAGGGGGGGGGGGCAGGGGGGGGGGCTGATTCCACAGATGGAATTACTGTATTGAATGCTGTTTTTTTTTTTTTAATGACACTGTCAAACAGCAGACCTAGCCTACAACAGATCAGCCATCGGGGAGATCACAGACGGGAACGACGGGACATGTGGCACCAATGGGAAGATCACAATCACTGTTGATCTGGACCGTCCTTACATCTTTACCTGGCTCCGGGTTCGCTTCAGCCGAGCTGGTAGAGTCCTCTCTCTCTCTCTCTCTCTCTCTCTCTCTCTCTCTCTCTCTCTCTCTCTCTCTCTCTCTCTCTCTCTCTCTCTCTCTCTCCCTCTCCCTGTATTTGTCTTATGTGTCTATGTATTGTTTTAGGCACCACTAGATTAATACCGTCCTTATAGAGTTAACTAAACATTACTTCTGAAATGTAGTTATTTCGGTTGAAACAGTAACTGATTCTAAAGTTGAAACACAATCTTCAGCCTACAATTTAGTCGTTAAAATCTAATGAAAGGAGTTTAGTGAGCTCGGATCAGAATTAATGATTTACATTATAATTTAAAACTTGGGGTTAGTTTAAAACTAGAGTTATGAAATTGTATAAATTTTAGTACAGTAATTGTTATAGGATTGTAGTAGCTTTAGTTAGGTAACAGTGTATAACTTTTAGTGAAATTGCTAATGTAGACTGATGATTTTTTAAATTGTATAACTTCTGTCATATTTCCCCATGTTTGCAGTAAATATAAAGATCGTTCATTTAAAACCGGTTTCGTAGACTTTATTACATAAAGGGGACGTCAACCAGTGTGACAGAATAAACAGCACATTCATTTTGAATGAAATATGTACCATGGCCTTGGTCAGAAAAAGTCTCCGTATGTATTCGGGCTAAATTCCCATTGTTTAGCTAGGGAGGACACGCCTTCTCAAGAATGGAAAAAAAATGAAACAAAAATATTTTTGTTGTTCATTGAACTAACCATTTGCCATGTTCCATCTTGTTGTGGTGGCTCGGTCAATATCTATGGTATCCACTGCGAAAAACGTTTTAAAACTATCTAAATTCACACATGGAATTCTTTCGTTGGCGAGCTTGTGCTTCTACAACGGTTTACCCGTATAGCTACGTCAGTTTTGTTGCAACAGCATTCTTGTGTCCTGTCACTGAAAGATCTGTCTTGAATTCACATTGTTTCCGAAACATGCTTTGCCCAGTCTTTCGCTGTTTTCTTCGATACACATTTGTTATCCTACCTTGTCCCACATTCTTTGTTAAATATCGACTGGTCGACATCCTTCAAATAAAGGAAACTGAGCTACCGCTCTGTAGTCTCCTCTGGACTGACAAACCCCACCATTTTTTCAGCGGTCAGAAACAGAACCAGTGAATGAAGAGGCGATAGGTTCGTGCTGTTTTATTCATTGGTCAGTACATATCAGGGATGCTTATTGATTTTTTTTTTTAAACCTTACACAAGGCTGATAAAAACCTAAGATTTTTTTTTATTCACTTCTATTGAAATGGTTTACTAACAGCTCTTCTTCCTAGCCGATTTTAGTCGTCATCGTCTCTTTCTGCTTTTCTCAGTTCTTTAAATATCTTTTAATATGGAGTCAAAGAAAAAAAAATAGATCCAGTCGAAACATTTAATATAAGAATTAGCTCAGGAGACAGCATATCACTGATTAAAAAATTAATATTAAAGGAATGGTCCTTGAATTGGGACAAAATCCTAAAGCGTAGACATTTCATTAAAGTTGTTAAAATGCTAATTAAAGACAAACTCAGATGACATACCAACTTGAAGTATCATGCAATAGTAAACTGCTTAGACAACAACATTGGATGGTCTCGCTTTAATGTACGAGAAGTGACCTGTAATGTATACCAGAAATACAATATTATAGCAATATTAGCTGGAATGTAGGAAATATAAAAACCAAAAGAAACCATTAACTGACTACATGCGTCCCTATAAATTACAAATGACCGTAGAAAATGTGGCGCACATAAACAGCATCAGAGAGCTGCGTGGCAAGACCCGGCCATTTATTACTAGGACTACATTCCATATAAAGCAAGGTAAAGAATGCTCATGGCATCTTTGAAGAAGTTTACCCTAAATTAAAATCTAGGAGAATAATCAATAATTGCACACTAAGGAAACACTCCCCCCCCCCCCCCCCCCTTTCCGATAATGACATAATGTTACTAATATTTTCTAGTACAATTTCTTTCATAATCTCAACCAAGATCAAATCAAAATGTGAAAAAATACAAAATTACATTTTAGGCCACATAAATAATTACATGATGTATAGATATACATGATATATAGATTAAAAAAACAAAACAAAAACAAATATATATTCTGAGAACTCAATTAAAACTATAGATCCTAATTATAACCCTGGGGTTTGAACAGGATATTTGGAGAAAAAAATTACTTCTTCTACTTCAAATATCTTTGACTAACAACCCCACTTTGCAAATCTTTCAACAATTCTTTATCTGGTTTCCCTGTTGTATAGTCGTTATTGCCTCGAATGCTTGCCTTTCTTGCAATAATTCCATCCTTCGCTGTGGCTGCTTTCAAAGAACGGGTTTGTTTATATACAGCTCATTCAGAAAAATATCCTTTCAACTTCTGGTTTAAGAATGAGGACAGCTTGTGAGGTTTGGTTTGCAATTAAATCTGATGAAATATCATATTTTGAAATTGTGCAGGTCATCCTTAGTGCCTTTTAATTTATAACAATACTGAGCAATTGTCTCTGAACCAATTAGTAAATTTGCAGCAGTCAGGCGGTGACTTACCCACTGATCATTTAAATCAGTGGTTCTCAACCTTGATAATGCCGCTACCCTTTAATACAGTTCCTCATGTCGTGGCGACCCGAAACCATACAATTACTTTCTTTGTTATGTAACTTCAATGAACATGTGTTTTCCGATGCTCTTACGCGATCACTGTGAAAGGGTCGCGACACACAGGTTGAGAACCGCTGATCTAAATCCTTGCAATATTGTTCTGGTACAATAAACTGAATTACCAGTGGGATAACTGATGCTGGAGATTTATTTAAATCTTTTCTCAAGGAAATTAAAAGGATCTAATACATTAAGTTTTGCAACCAAGCTTTCCTTGCCGAAAGAAAAATCGTTGTTTGAATTAAACTTTTTTATTTCATTTTGTTTACCCTCTGAGTTTGTTAACCTCTAGAAAGATCCCCAAAACACTTTCATAGTTGTCACATCGCTTCATACTTCTGTTGATTTACTGTAGGAGTTTCCAGTCTTTGTCCTGTTTTGTATGTCAGCCGCTAGCCTCTTTGACTTCACAACTTATCCTATAGTCCTATTGGATTGTAAATCTGGTCCCTTGACTGTTTGTCGCTCCGCGTGTACAATTTAGTTTACCTGTAAACTGGTGAAATACCTTATGTAATCATTTTACGTGTGTATTGTAACCAACGTATCGTGCCCGACTACTTCTATTAATGACAAATCGCATTTCTGGTGGCGATTGTTGGCGTTGGCGTCTCTAGCAACTTAAAGACGCATTTACTGCCTGAGCATATTTCTGCATTGTTCCAGGACTAGTTGTTTGTTCACCAATGTTTCAAATGCAACAGTGAGGGATATTTCATTTTGATTTTCACTGCCACAGGAACGGGCAAGCATGAAAAGTCTTGATTGTGGTGATGTTAAAACCTCGACTACTGTACATTCGTTACGGTTGTATTGTGTTACGCTAATTTGCAAAGAGGCCAGGTTGAATGGTTGAATCAAAAACATCCTTTACTGCGCTTTAATATCAGACCATGCAGTTTTAGGGGCTGCTGTCAAGTTACCAAATGGTTGCTATACTTCATACTTGAACGATAATTTTTTCTGATTGTTCAACCAAAATATTGTGTTCCAAAACAAATTCCATTCCCGTTATTAATTGTATTAACTGTAGTATATTTCATTAGTAAGACTCAAAGCCTAAAATGTTTCAATAATTTTCAAATAAAACCAAGAAACCCACCGTCAACTGAAATAAAAACCCATTTACTGGAAAGTGTGTGTCGGCAACATTAGCGGCCCTGGTACATATCGCATGGCCCTGACGCAATCATGCTCAACACAAGCAACGAGTTTCAAATAAACGTTGAGAATATGTTTGGTTGATTGAAAATGTCGCTGTCTACAGGTGTCCTGCCTACTGTCGATGTGGCCTTCTCATACAACTCGGGCATCTTTTTCTGCCATAACCCGAGAAGAAGCAGCTTGGACAGTCAGACCATGGACATCTACTGTGACGTGGGAAGCTTGATAGACAGTGTGTTTCTCTCGGGTAGCGGCGTCAAGATATTTGTGTTCACTTTATGTCAGTGGAGGTAAACTTCTGTGTTCTCTTTGTGTCATTGGAGTTAAACATCTGTCTTCTCTTTATATCAGTTAGGTAGAATCTGTGTTCTCTTTATTTCAATGGAGGTAAACATCTGAGTTCTCTTTATGTCACTGGACGTCAATATTTGTGTTCTTTTTATGCCAGCGGAGGTAAATATCTGTGTTCTCTTTATGTCAGTGCAGGTTAATATCTGTGTTCTCTTTATGTCAGTGCAGGTAAATATCTGTGTTCTCTTTATGTCAGTGCAGGTAAATATCTGTGTTCTCTTTATGTCAGTGCAGGTAAATATCCGTGTTCTCTTTATGTCAGGGGAGGTAAATATCCGTGTTCTCTTTATGTCAGGGCAGGTAAATATCTGTGTTCTCTTTATGTCAGTGGAGGTAAATATCTGTGTTCTCTTTATGTCAGTGCAGGTAAATATATGTGTTCTCTTTATGTCAGGCAGGTAAATATCCGTGTTCTCTTTATGTCAGGGCAGGTAAATATCCGTGTTCTCTTTATGTCAGTGCAGGTAAAATCCGTGTTATCTTTGTGTTCTATCTGTGTTTATCTTTATGTGCAGGGAGGTAAATATCTGTGTTCTCTTTATGTCAGTGCAGGTAAATATCCGTGTTCTCTTTATGTCAGTGCAGGTAAATATCCGTGTTCTCTTTATGTCAGTGCAGGTAAATATCCGTGTTCTCTTTATGTCAGTGCAGGTAAATATCCGTGTTCTATTGATAGGCACTCATAGAAAGAAGTAGAAAGATAGAAGAACACACTAGACAACATTAAAATCGAAAGCTATAGTTACCGTGCCGGGGATTGAACCTGTCACCTCCAGACGGCGTGTGCGCCTCGCTATGGATACAAGTGCACTACGAAATAGTATGGATCGTAGATTCAGTCATACTGCTTGGTGAGATCAGAAACACGAAGACAAAGCTCATGTTTGGTTGTTATGTCCTTTTTCGTTTCTACAGTAGTACGGTATGGCATCACTATCACTAATACCTTTCACAAAGATAAGCCGACGTTGTCGTTTGTTGTAGGGAACTCAGATACATTACAAATTATCGGGAGACAGGGGAGGTTTCGAGTAATGGGGCTGGCAGTTTTTTTTTTTTTTTTTGAGAATCTAAAAGTTACTAAGGCCCAGCTTCCTGCAACTGTGGTGCCTCAGGCTGCAGGAACAAAGATTCATGCGCATCATAATGTTGAGAACAAAGATTCAAGCGCATCATATTGTGGGGATCAAAGATTCATGCGCATCATATTGTGGGGAACCAAGATTCATGCGCATCATAATGTGGGGAACCAAGATTCATGCGCATCATATTGTGGGGAACACCGATTCTTGCGCATCATATTGGGGAACAAAGATTCATGCGCATCACATTGTAGGGAACAAAGATTCATGCGCATCATATTGTGGGGAACAAAGATTCATGCGCATCACATTGTGGGGAACAAAGATTCATGCGCATCATATTGTGGGGAACCAAGATTCATGCGCATCATAATGGGGGGAACCAAGATTCATGCGCATCATAATGGGGGGAACCAAGATTCATGCGCATCATATTGTGGGGAACCAAGATTTATGCGCATCATATTGTGGGGAACAAACATTCATGGGCATCACATTGTAGGGAACAAAGATTCATGCGCATCATATTGTGGGGAACAAAGATTTATGCGCATCATATTGTGGGGAACCAAGATTCATGCGCATCATAATGTGGGGAACCAAGATTCATGCGCATCATAATGTGGGGAACCAAGATTCATGCGCATCATATTGTGGGGAACCAAGATTTATGCGCATCATATTGTGGGAAACAAATATTTATGCGCATCATATTGAAGGGAACAAAGATTCATGGGCATCATATTGTAGGGAACAAAGATTCATGCGCATCATATTGTAGGGAACAAAGATTTATGCGCATCATATGGTAGGGAACAAAGATTCATTCGCATCATATTGTAGGGAACAAAGATTCCAACGCATCATATTGTAGGGAACAAAGATTCATGCGCATCATATTGTGTGAAACAAAGATTCATGCGCATCATATTGAAGGGAACAAAGATTCATGGGCATCTTGTTGTGAGGAACAAAGAATAATGCTCATCATATTGTGGAGAACAAAGATGCATGCGCATCATATTGTAAAGAACAAAGATTCATGCGTATCATATTATAGGGAACAAAGTTTCGTGCGCATCAAATTGAAGGGAACAAAGATTCATGCACATCATATTGTAGGGAACAAAGACTCATGTGGATGTGGATTCATTTAGCATGGAAAGTAGTGATCAGTTCAAATCTTTAAAAAGTGGAGAAATTGATCTGGTCATAAATGCGTTTTTTCGGGTAATGAGTGGTGCTTTTTAAGAGTCTTTTTAGGAATATGTTTAGTATGAAAGCGGTCATGACACAAATCGAGATACTTTTGTTTCCTGCCTATGAAACTACAGTTGTCAGAGCACAAGAAGCACAGTCGAATGACTTTGGAATACTCAGTAGTAGTTAAGACATGGAAGTCTAGGCTGGCCTTTGATATTTGGAGAATTTTCAAAATTGGTAGAAATCGCTCTACTGAATCTTATGGCTGAATTACAGTGATTGAAGCAGTCGACCAACTGTTCCAGCTCATTCTTAGACATCGTGTTAATACCGACACCCTTACCTCAGTGTTGCCACTTTTGTTTGACCAAAAAATCCTAAATGGAGTCAAAAAAACATCTTAAAACATCTAAATCTGTGTAAAAAACACATCCAAAAGGAAAGAGTCACAAATTACATAGCAATTGATATGACTTACCCTATAGAATCATGTCCTCGTCTTTAGTGAAAACTGCCTTACAAGATCCACAGGATAAACTTAGCTTGGATGAGGAAGTTGAAGCTTAAGCTCCAAAATGACTCTGGTATGCTTTAGCTGTTCCAATTTCCTTTAATACCCAAACCAGGGTGCTGATAAGTGGAACAGCCTTTTCCTACTCCTATAAGGCTGAATTTTATTGTCAAGATAGCATTTAAAAGGTCTAATTTCATCTTGTTTCTTAGGTTAGATTTGATAAATTCACTTTAAATGAAAAACATCTACAAAAACATCTACCATCTAAACGTCAAAAACGCTATCTAAATGCAAGTAAACGCATCTAAATCTGGATGTAAAACATCCAAAGTGGCAACACTGATCCAGCTACACTTCAAAAACGACTAGAAAATGGGGGTGGGAGTTGGGGGGGTGGGGGGGGGGGGATAAACTGGTAGTTCGTTAAGTGCGAATTTTTTATTTGCTTCTCTTCACTCTTTGAGTCCCAAGGAACGCATCATGCGTTCATAGATTCCTAACTACAAACCCAATGAACGCAAGATGCGCCGATTTTACGTCTTTCTTGACTACCCCTTGGGCATGTGATGCTAAACCCTCTGGGACTCAAAGAGTTAATGGTTTGCTATTGCAGTTTCTATGTGGAAGGCATTTGGTTTGGTGTGACGAAATGCTTTTTGCAGCAAATTTTGCGTGCATATGGCCAGCTTATCGTAGGTGATTAAAGACTCACTAGACAGACACACACGCACACACACATACGCACACACGCAAGCACGCGCACACACCCACCCTTCCTACCTCTCCAGGACAGCAATCCGAAAGCTTGAAGCTGATAATTCAAGGAGCCATTGTTTATTTGGGGAACATATCTGTTGACAATCTGATAGTATGGATCACCATCATACGCTCTGACAACTGGCGTAGACGCTTATGCATCTCCACAGATCACGATCAATGGCTGCCTGGAGCAGCTCTATTGATGATATCCTTCCATGCCTTCGTTTCAGCCCATCCAGCATAATATCCCTTGGTCTGTCTCTACCCCTTTTTCCACTAATCTTTCCAGTTGTCACGATGTTCTTAAGTGTCTCTCTTCTCGGTATGTGGTCAATAAACAGTGTCTGTCTCTTTCTCATTGTTGTAAATAGGGATCTACTTTCGTTAGCTTATTTCAAACAATCGTTGGTAATTACTCTGACCGTCAAGGTATTCGTAGCATTTCGTCTTAGAAACCACATCTCTGTTGCAGCCAGATTCTTCTTAATTTGTTCACTGACATTCCAAGATTCGCTACCACACAGCAGAACAGGTTCTATGTAACATTTTAGCCTTCTGGTATGGGTATCTACACTTTAACCTGCTATGTTTGCATTGGACAGGTCGTAACATAGCCCTGAAACAGCTGACTCAACAGACTATTACATACGCTGAGGTTAGTAGTGACGTCAACAATCCTTATATAGAGTTTGCGTCCGACCGAGCCGTCGATGGGAAGTCAGACCCCAAAGTCAACACGGAAAAAGCGTGTGCAATTCTGGAACGGGATGGGACGCCTCCATCATGGACTTTGATTCTGCCCAGCATGCAAAATATCACTAGGTTTGTCATCTACAGCACAGTCGGTAAGTTTGACAAGTCTTTATTTCCATCTCAGCACTAAACGCTGTCAGCGCCAGCGGCTTATGGGCAGCGTGCGCTTCGTAATGCTAGGGTGCCGGGTTCGATCCAAGCTGCAAGCGATTTGCCAGCAGACACTCTTGCGTTGGTTTCAATCTTGCGTTAATTTCGAGTGTTACTGAACCCTGGCCGTTCAGGGCAATGGCCAACCATTAAACTCAAACATTGTCTAGAACAAAAGTTATGCTGTTGGTTCTGCAACATCCTGTAAAGGGTATGCAACTAACAGTTAACTAAACGTTTCTATGTCTTAATATGCTCAAACAATTTGTGCTTTTATTTATTGAAAATCCCCTTTTTTTATTTTTTGAAAATCCCCCCATTTTTTTTTTTTTTAAAGTCTTGTCCTGCACTACTTTCTAACAATATTCCATAGCTATTTTTCCTGACGTATCTCAAAGTTGTGTTTATAGCATCACTGTTCTAATTTTTAAGAGCTTTGATTTGAGTTTGATTTGAATATTTCCCCTACAGTAGCTCATAACTGTGTTCAAAACAGTGGTTTTCAACATGGGCGGCATGTCCCCTTCCGCCCACCTCACAACTTCCGAATGCGCGCAAGGATTTTTCAAAAGCGCTGTGATTAGATCATCTTAGTGACAATGTCTCACATCATCACTATCATCATGTGCCCTTCCAACTGGCGTAGGCGCTCATGCTTGTACACAGATCACGATCCCTGGTTAGCTGGAACAGCTCTTTTGATGATATCCCTCCATGTCATCGTTTTAGCCTATCCAGCATCAACTCTATTGGACTGCCTCTACCCCCTTTTCCCCTGATCTTTCCATATGTCACGATGTTCTCCAATGTCTCTCTTTTCTTTATGTGGCCAAAGAACAGCGTTTGTCTTTTTCTTATTGTTGTATACAGAGATTTACTTTCATAAGCCTCTTTCAAGCACTCGTTGTTAGTTACTCTGGCCGTCTGTCACATATCACTCCTGTCACGTGCCTGATTTAAGGATTTCTCCTTAAGAACCAACAGCACTCAGAAATAATTATGTTGAGTCGTTGGCCCGTATTGGTCTAAGGGATGCCCCGTGGCCAATTTACGCTCAACTTATTTCTGGAGTAGGGCAACTCAAGTTTTGGGACTAAAAAATATATAATATTCCTAGGCACACTTGGCTGGACATTACTACTACTAAAAATAATTAGCCCCCAGGTTATGATAGTCTACTATCATAACCATGTTAACACATATAACACTTATTACTTACACACATAACAATGCTAAACAATTAGAAAGGTAAAACAGGGACACCTAAGTCAGCCATGAAAATGAATGTATGTAATAAGTACAATTTATCTACACATATATCGAAGCATAGATTTTCCAGAACGTTCAGACTCAGGACTCAGTGACACGACCCAGATATTGAAGCAGCCAGATTGCTTTGAGACGTACACCAGCGTTCATCACAGGAATACCACGGAGCTGTGGGGAAGAGAGCATGATAATGGAAAAAAAAACTGTCACTTAGCCCAGTTCGTAGGTTGATGCTCCCCTCAGTCCATGGTGATTCGACTGTAGTTGACTCAGGTAGCTCTGCCTCAAGTTGATCTGGTCACAGAGGATTACCTCACCATCGAGGACACAGAAACTGTATAGGGACTCAACAAGTCTCTCTCACAGGTCACAAAACTGTCTCGGGCCCCAACCAAGCTCCTGAAGACTGGTTCACTCGATCAATGACAAAACCTCTGCAAATGTTCACTCGTCCTGGAGCTCACACACGCTCTTGCCATGTTGAGGTAATGGCACACAGGGCATGACATGGTTATGTTTGGTACATAAATTGGTGTTGGTTGGTGGTTGTTGGCTGGACTGTGATTTGTCTGCCTGATCTCTACAGAGGTCTCATCCTGTCAGGAAAGAACTCAGAATTAGTAATCACCAAGGGGTATCATCTTGTCAGGAAAGAACTCAGAATTAGTAAACAGCTTTCATCACACATCAGCTTACTCCACCTCTGCTCCTCTTTTACATTCCTCAGAGTGTACTCTCAAGACCAGGAGACAATGTCTATTTTCATTTATCTGTCTGTAACTAGTGCAACAGATAGAAAGGCAGATATATATAGTGGAGATAGATAGACACTATCACACATAGATCATTCTCTCCCCCCCCCCCTCACATCTGAAAACAGACACCAATGTTTACAGTCAATACCCATACATCTTCCGTCCCCCCAGGCCATTCACTACACACCCATTGTTCTGTGTCAAGCACACTCGAAGCAGAGCGCTAGCCCTGCCTGTCTATTAAACTGACCTACATTCTCTGTCCCAGTTAATACTGCACAAACTTCTGTTGCCTGGTCAGAGGATAAATACTTGTAGGGTTCAATATCTTTACCAAAGGTGTGGGGTGTGTAGAGCGCGAACTAATTAGTCTGCACAGGGGAAGGTCTACGGTTCAGATCCGGTTCTCTGGACATCAAGAACGGTCGAACTCTGAGTGATCACATAGCCGATACCGCTCTATCTACCGCAGTGACCCTTTTAAAAAAGCATCATTTATGGTACTCGTAAACTATAATTAACTTACCTAAGCTTAGGAAATGTCCTAGACACTACAAGCCGCCTCCTCAAAGTATAAATTTACGAGGCCCCGTTGAACACATCTGTTCTCTAGGCAGTCAGGCAGAAAAATGTCCGCTTCAAACTACGCTTGGCGTTACTAAAAAAGAAGTTCCCGTGTATACATGAGCAAGGAGTAAACCGGTTTCCATGAATTTTCAAATAAAACACCAGAAACACCCAACTTACAGTTGCAAGTTTAAAAATGAAGATATATCAAAGCAACTAGAGGGTCCAGAAATTACTTTTTTACCAGATAAAGGTATAGGTCAATATAAGGGACTATATACCTTTCCAGACAAGTCAAAGTTTGAAAGTTTTCTGAGCGCGGGGGTTTTCAGGTCCCGACTCGTCCACTGTGTGTAGTGGCTGTTCATCTCATGACACCGTCCAAGGTATTCGTAACATTCGTCTCAGAAACAACATCTCTGTTGCTTCAAAATTCTTCCTAATTTGTTCAGTGACATTCCAAGATTCGCTGCCATACAGCAGAACAGGTTCTACATAACATGTTTGCACCCTCTTTCTGACATTGAATGAGAGCGATTTATTGCATAGGATATTTATCAACGTCTCGCATCTGTATTTAGATCATCTTCTCTATAACGTCTTACATCTGTGCTTAGATTATCTTCTCTACAACGTCTCACATCTGTGTCTAGATTATCTTCTCTACATTGTCTCACATCTGTGTCTAGATTATCTTCTCTACAACGTCTCACATCTGTGTTTAGATTATCTTCTCTACAACGTCTCACATCTGTGTCTAGATTATCTTCTCTACAACGTCTCACATCTGTGTTTAGATTATCTTCTCTACAACGTCTCACATCTGTGTTTAGATTATCTTCTCTACAACGTCTCACATCTGTGTCTAGATTATCTTCTCTACATCGTCTCATATCTGTGTCTAAATTATCTTCTCTACAACGTCTCACATTTGTATCTAGAATATCTTTTCTACAACGTCTCATATCTGTGTCTATATTATCTTCTTTACAACGTTCATATCTGTGTCTAGATTATCTTCTCTACAACGTTTCATACCTGTGTCTAGATTTTCTTCTCTACAACGTCTGACATTTGTGTCTAGATTATCTTCTCTACAACGTCTGACATTTGTGTCTAGATTATTCTCTCTACAACGTCTCACACCTGTGTCTAGATTATCTTTTCTACAACGTCTCACATTTGTGTCTAGAATATCTTCTCTACAACGTCTCACATCTATGTTTAGATTATCTTCTCTACAACATCTCACATCTGTGTCTAGAATATCTTCTCTACAACGTCTCACATCTGTGTTAAGATTATCTTCTCTACAACGTCTCACATCTGTGTTTAGATTATCTTCTCTACAACGTCTCACATCTGTGTTTAGATTATCTTCTCTACAACATCTCACATCTGTGTGTAGATTATCTTCTCTACAACGTCTCACATCTGTGTTTACAATATCTTCTCTACAACGTCTCACATCTGTGTTTACAATATCTTCTCTACAACGTCTCACATCTATGTTTAGATTATCTTCTCTACAACGTCTCACATCTGTGTCTACAATATCTTCTCTACAACGTCTCACATCTGTGTTTACAATATCTTCTCTACAACGTCTCACATCTATGTTTAGATTATCTTCTCTACAACGTCTCACATCTATGTTTAGATTATTTTCTCTACAACGTCTCACATCTGTGTTTAGATTATCTTCACTACAACGTCTCATATTTTTATCTAGATTATCCTCTCTACAAAGCCAGACATTATGTGATTTACCTGTAACACATAGGAACCGTCTAATCAAATTTTTTTCTTACATTTTCGTTTTTATTCTAGACATAGCATTACGGCCCAATATGTTAATAGTTGTTGTGTCGGTTTTTCGACCTTTGCTTGGTTTATATACATTTTTGTAACTGCTGGTGCCATTTCAATTGTTATTAACATATTATGTCCGTTTTCCACAGTTTTAGCGTTCAAGCTGTACGATAGACATGACCAATGAAGATACTTTTTTTTTTAGGGAGAGATGCCTAGTTGATTGTGTTTCTCAGTACACTTGTTTCCAAACGAGACGCACACGCCATATAGAAGTGACAGGCTCAATTCTGGGCAATGTAACTGCAGCTTTAGATATTTATGTCGTCCAGATAGTCCCTCTAATTTTTTACTTCTTTCTATGAATACAGATCAATACATTCTGTTTTTTTTTAATGTAACATTTCTGTTTTTAGTTGATCTTCTTTACAACATCTGAAATCTGTGTTCAGATTATCTCCCTTACATCTTAAATCTGCGTTTTGATTTTCTTCTTACAACATCTCAAATCTGTGTCTAAAGTATCTTCCTTACAAAGTCTCAAATCTGTGTTTAGATTATCTTGTCTACCATGCCACACAGCTGTGTTTGCACTTCTTTACCTCTTTGTTTTATGCGCCTTTTAGGTTGCATGACATATTTGTAGAACTGTGCGTTTGCAATTACATGTCCGTATGGTGTGTATGTGTGATATGACATTATTATTTGTATATGTTTATGTGTGACATGAAAGTTAAACTTTGGTCATCTTGCATGTACAATATGTAGTCATACACAAGTTTACACTGCTGACGTGTGGTCACATTTTTAAATTTATGTTAAAGTACGTTATCAAAGATCCTTCCAGAACTGTGAGTGTGTTGTCATACATATGTCAGTATGTCATCACGTATGTTGTCATGCACTTCGTCACGAATGTAATCACGTAGGTAGTCACTGAGCATTGGTGAACATTGTGACTCTGTGGTTATATTAAGTTACACTCTCTGCAACGATACAAAACTACTACAGGGCAACTGACATTATCACTTTGTTGTATAAATTGTAGAAAGCAAGACACAAATCGCTGGCTTCACCCTGGAGTGTTTTCTCGAAAATAGCACTCGGGTGTTTCAGTATGTGGACACATCACCGATCAAGCGTAACAGGTATATTGTTGTTCCACCGAAAATGTACAGTGGCATTCAGAAGGTAGTTGTTCGACACAGCTCCACCAACATCGTATTTTCCCTGTGTGAAGTGGAAGTGTATGGGGGTAAGTCTGTCTGTCTGTCTGTCTGTCTGTCTGTCTGTCTGTCTGTCTTTCTGTCTTTCTGTCTCTCTGTCTGCCTGCCTGCCTGCCTGCCTGCCTGCCTGCCCGCCCGCCCGCCCGTCCGTCCGCCCGTCCGTGCGCCCGTCCGTGCGTCAGGCGGGCGGGCGGGCGGTCGTCCTGTCTGTCTGTTTATCTACAGTGTAAGTCAGTAGATCCCCGGGTCCACTATACATACAGCTGAATCGTTCTGGCCTGAAGCAAGTTAATAAATTTAAATATCCGTGAAGTGTTTTCCGGGAAGATGTCAGAATTGACAGAGATTTGAAACCAGATTTCAGAAAGCAAGTCGACTCACATACATGACCGTACAGGGCAAGATGCCATTAGCAAAATCAGACGACGTAAAACAAGAGCAGATCGCAGACGGCGGGAGAGATGGGCCCAGCTACCATGGTGGAATGAAGTAGTCAACATGGCGTGGCTAGAAAAAAGGAACGCTGTCAAGGCATGGCAAAAGGCAAGGAAAATTGATCCGTCACTTTCTGAACGCCTGATCAGTCTGAAAGATGAGGTCAACAAGCGGACAGTGGCTTTCAAGTTAATTGCGAAAGAAGCCAAGACAGCGAAATGGAACGAATTCTGCAAGAGCGTTTGCTCTGAGTTATCTCTTGTGACATTCTGGCGCCTTCAACGGAGCATGCAGGGCGCCGCACGGCCAAGGGGTATCCCTGATTTTCAGGGTACTGACCTGATATGGCAGAGAACTGATGCTGATAAAGGAAAAACCCTTCTTGCGCGCTACTTGGAGCAAACTGACCAAAAATACGAAGCTGCAAGAATAGAGGTTAAGATGAAACTGTCGATGCTGTGCGAGAACACTGAGCTAGACACTGATTTCACAATCACTGCAGACACCTTAAGAACTTGCCTCAAGAAATCGCGCAGCACTGCTCCAGGCCCTGACGGCATCCGATACAACGACATGCTGATGATGTCGAATGCTGATTTGAAAAGCGGGGCAAAGGAATTCAATATCAGCATCCAGAGTGGCCAGATACAAGAGGAATGGCTCCATAGTTATTTGTTCCCACTACCAAAGCCTAATAAAGACCACTCAAAGATCTGCGGCTACAGAATCATCTCGATGCAGAATACTGTTGGCAAACTTTTGGAAAAAAATTGTCGCACAAAGATTGACCACCTACTTGGAACTACATGATAAGTTCCCATCAACACTTGGAGGGTACAGGTTGAAGAAAGAGACATGGTTCAATGCTGCTGTTTTCGCCTACGATGTGTACGAGGGATTTCAGATTAAAGAAGAGACATGTGCGGCAGTGTTGGACTTAGAAGATGCCTACAATAAAGTACCATATGATTATTTATTGCAATTACGCTGGATTGCTGCGGTCCTGTTCCAGAGAAAGATTGTACTAAGATGTGGTAGCTGGTCCTCAGAACCGCAAACGATATGTCCAGGCTTGCCACAGGGATCACCGCTATCACCAGTCTTATTCAACGTTTATACGGTGATGATCACTGAGCAGCAGTTGAATGGAAAGGGAAGGACTTTGTCATTTGCTGATGACATTTTGATTTATCGACGAGGGCGTGATAGACAGGAGATCGCCAGCACAATGCACAAAGAACTCGATCGAATTGCCGCCTGGTGTGTTGGTTCCAATGCCTATGTCAATCCCTTGAAGGCATCAGTGTCATGGCTCTCTTTGAACAATCACATTGTCAAGTCGGACTTACCAGAAGTGAAAATGCGTGATAATGTATTGATCAGAACCAACGTTATGACGTTTCTCGGGGTGAGGTTCGATCGCAGCTTGTCATTCAGGGAACACGTTGACCATGTGATAACAAAAGCACGCAAAGGCCTATTTGCAATGAGGATTATGGCTGCTTCCAATATCGAGCAAAGACTACTAGTACTTCTATTCTACGGTCTGGTCCTTTCCCCCATTGAATACGCTCTGGCCATCCTCACTGTCAGTGCTACCCAGATTGAACGACTCGAAAAGGTGCAAAATGAAGCCATGCGTATTATTTTGGGATGTACAAGAGACACATTCTGTGGAGCAATGAGGTATCTACTTGACTTTCCAACAATGAACCAAAGTATCAGGATGTGGAGGGCTCGGGCATACCTCAAAATATGTGCTGATAAGAAACACCCACTGCATCAAGCGCTTTTTAGAGAAAAGGGCGACAGACTGAAGAGGGGGAAATCGTGGCTAGGTCGGGCAGAAGATGTTATTAGGCAAATATGCAGCCTAACCGACATCATAATTGGTGCAGAATGGATACCTGTGCCTCAGGCGTTTATTTGTAAATTTTCCGGTATTGTCACACTCAACAGGCGATGTAGAGAAGAGAATCCTGTTGCTGTCAATGCAGAGGTCAACGCTCTCATCGGTGAAAATTCAGACGAAGCAGATGCACTAATCTATACAGATGGATCCTTTATACGCCATAGAAGAAGCGCATGGGCATTTACAGCACGCTCAGCGGACAGAACAGTCAAAGAAGCCAACGGCGCCTTCTCCATGACAACCAGCAGCATGACGATGGAGGTGATGGCAGTGACGCAAGCGTTTGCCTGGCTTGAAACACAAAAATACACCCGCATATGTATACTCAGTGATTCAATGAGTATTATCCGGAGGGTTCAGGCAGGTTCAGTGCGAAGACAATGGCTTGAATCACTTCAGAAGTCCACTGTGCGAGGAGTCACCTTTATTTTTGTTCCAGGACACGCAGGCGTCGATGGAAATGAAAGAGCTGACAGGTTGGCTGGATCCGCTATCACTACCGACAGTCGGCCTATGGATCATGCTGATATTATCAATGCCCTCAGAGAAATGGGAAGGACAGAGGACTTTGGTGGCAGTGAATCCACATCACTCGCCAGAATGGCAGACTTGGGAATTAAGATCGGCACAGCAAAAAAACGAGACGCACACCGGACACGTCAGAAGACTTGTTAATCAACACAGAACTGGTACTATTAGCCATCGGACGTTGGGGTTCATACTGAGGGGAGGATCTGAGCACCTATGGACATGTCCGGAGTGCAATGATGATAACCCAACTAACTAACTAACTAACTAACTAACTAACTAACTAACTAACTAACTAACTAACTAACTAACTAACTAACTAACTAACTAACTAACTAACTAACTAACTAACTAACTAACTACCTTAAATGTAGTTAATAATCCACAATGCATTACTAGTTATAATTGATTGCAGTGCGAATGATATGTATGTATGCGTATATGTGTGACATGCAGGCGTGCGTATTTGTGTATGTATGATTCTGTGTATGTATGGGTAACTGTATACGTTTGTGTGTGTGTCTCTGTGTGCAGGCGTGTGTCTGTGAGTGTGTCTGTTTGTCTTTATGGTGTCTGCGTGCATGTCTGTAGGTGTGCCTTTGAGCGTGTCTGTTTGTGTGTCTCTGTGTTGGTTCGTCCATATGCGTGTTTTTATGTGCATATATATGTGTGTCTGTAAGCGTGTCTGTCTGTGTGTCCTGCGTATCAGTGTGCGTGTCAGTCTGTGTTGTGTGTCGGTGTTTTTTTTTTTAGGTCTATCTGTATGTGTGGCTGTGTGTGTCTCTGTGTGTGTGATTGTATGTGGATATGTGTGGGTGTGGCTGCATGTTTGTCTGTGTGTGTGTGTCTGTCCGTTTGTGTGTATCAATGTTGTGTCTGTAGGTGTTTCTGCGTGTGTGTCTGTGTGTCTATGCCTGCGTGTGTCTGTAGCTGTGTTTCTCTGTGAGTTGTTTCGTGTGTATTTGTATGTTCATCTTTTTGATAATGTGTGCGTGCCTCTGCATGTGTGTCTGTGCAAATATTTGTGCGTCTGTGGGTGTGTTAGTATGTGTTTGTGTATGTCTCTGTATGTGTCAATGTGTGTCAGTGTGTGTGTGTCAATGTGTGTCAGTGTGTGTGTGTGTGTGCCATTATGTGTCTGTAGGTGTGTGTGGCTGCATGTGTATCTGTGTCTTTTTGTGGCTGTGTGTGGCTTTGTGTGTATCTGTGTGAGTCTATTATATAATGTCTGCGTGTCTCTGCTTGTGTCGGTTAATGCGTCTGCGTGTATGTCTGTGTGCGTATGTGTGACTGTGTGTGTATGAATGTGTGAGTGTTGTGTATGTCTGTGTGTGTATCTGTTTCCCTGCCTGCGTGTGTATGTGTTTGTGTGTGTGCCTGTGACTGCATGTGTGTGTGTGTATGTGTGGGTTTATGTCTCTGTGCGTCGGTGTGTGTGTGTATGTGTGGGTTTATGTCTGTGTGCGTCGGTGTGTGTGTTTGTATGGGTCTTTTTGCGTTGCTACGTGTGTGTATATAGCTGTGTCTGTATGTGTCTGGGTTGTATGCGTGTGTGTTTTAGAGCGTGTATGAGTGTATGTATGTATATATGTATGTATGTAGGTAGGTACTTAGGTAGATTGGTAGGTAGGTAGGTATGTATGTATAGATGTATGTATGTATGTATAGATGTATGTATGTATGTATAGATGTATGTATGTACGTATAGATGTATGTATGTATAGATGTATGTATATATAGATGTATAGATGTATAGATGTATGTATGTATAGATGTATGTATGTATAGATGTATGTGAGTGTATGTGTCTATAGATGTGTGGATGTGTATGTGTGTATAGATGTGTGTGTGTGTGCGCGCGCGTGCGTGTGTGTGTGTGTGCGCGCGTGCGCGTGCGTTTGTGTGTGTGCGCGCGCGTGCGCGTGCGTGTGTGTGTGTGTGTGCGTGTGTGTGCGCGTGTGTGTGTGTTAGCGAGCGTATGTGTGCGCATGTGTGACTGTGTGTGTATGAATGTGTGAGTGTTGTGTATGTCTGTGTGTGTATCTGTTTCCCTGCCTGCGTGTGTATGTGTTTGTGTGTGTGCCCGTGACTGCATGTATGTGTGTGTATGTGTGGGTTTATGTCTCTGTGCGTCGGTGTGTGTGTGTATGTGTGGGTTTATGTCTGTGTGCGTCGGTGTGTGTGTTTGTATAAGTCTTTTTGCGTTGCTACGTGTGTGTATATAGCTGTGTCTGTATGTGTCTGGGTTGTATGCGTGTGTGTTTTAGAGCGTGTATGAGTGTATGTATGTATATATGTATGTATGTAGTTAGGTACTTAGGTAGATAGATAGGTAGGTAGGTAGGTATGTATGTATAGATGTATGTATGTATGTATAGATGTATGTATGTATGTATAGATGTATGTATGTATGTATAGATGTATGTATGTATGTATGTATGTATGTATGTATAGATGTATGTATGTATAGATGTATGTGAGTGTATGTGTCTATAGATGTGTGGATGTGTATGTGTGTATAGATGTGTGTGTGTGTGCGCGCGTGCGTGCGTGTGTGTGTGTGCGCGCTCGTGCGCGTGCGTGTGTGTGTGTGCGTGTGTGTGCGCGTGTGTGTGTGTTTGCGAGCGTATGTGTGCGCATTCATGCATGCATGCGTGCATTTTTTTACCGCAGAACGTCTGAGAGGGAAGTGAGTGGAAGAACTAGATGGATAAGTTGTGTCGTTGAAACCTTCAAAAGGATTAATAAAGATGCTTGCATGCATGTTTGTGTGTGGGTGTGTGTGTGTGTGCATGTGTGTGTGTGCATGTGTGTGTGCATGTGTGTGTGCATGTGTGTGTGCATGTGTGTGCATGTGTTTGTGTGTATGTTCGTATGCATGTGGATGTATGTGTGTACTGGGTGCCTATGTGTTTGTGTGTAAGTGAGTGATTGGGTTTGTGTGTGTATGTGGGTGTGTGTGTTCGCTTTTGTTTTTGACTTCATATCCCTAATATGCATATTATTACATGAATATAACATGCTTTATTGATGAAATACAACTGCTGTGTTAAAGATGGAAGTTTGGAAGGGCCGAATGTATGACAGGCCTGCGTGCCTAATTTGTAACCCTTTGAAAATAAAGTTCCTTCGTTCGTTCGTTCGTTCATTTCACCACCAAGTGTTGCATAGCCGGCCAGTCTATCTGCCTGCTCATTTGACAACACACCAGTATCACCTGAAGAAAATATCCAAAGGATGCTAACTACCCGGGACTTAAGTGATACCTTGTACTAAATTCATTAAAAAAACAGCAAATCAAGTTGTTTGCCATCTCCTCAAAATGTAGCAACATCACATACCGTTACAGGAACTGCATTTCAGAAGATCGTTTACAAGTGTAAACTGAGGGAAATAAACGGTATGATAGAATCACTGTCAAAGAGATTTGGAAGAAATAAGTTAAACTAATTCCTGGACTCAAGAGGTATAGAAAATATGATGGCAGTCAATAGGATACAACTTGAGAAAAATTTAACTGCAATTACTTTACGCATAACTTTACAGGAGAGTGCAAACGAAGAAGGCAGACCAAAAAAACAACAAACAAACAAACAAAAAACGTTGAGAAGGAAAGTAGGGATTGAAGTTAAAAGGGCATAGGGTGAGCTGCATGCGATAGTGAAGGGTGAGATGACTTGGAGTGAGTTGATGTTTGTGGGTATTGATGCACCACTCTGGGATAGAGGTTTGCAGAAGATCACTATGTCTTGTGTTGACAGATTCCATGTGCGAGTCTAAGCGGTACGGACATCGATGTGAGCACACCTGTGGCTGTGCCGGCAATGCCACTTGTTTTCCAAGCACAAGAATGTGTCCAGCAGGATGCGCTCCTGGTTACCAGGGAGCTGGCTGTGATCTTGGTAAGTTGTTGGTCTTGTTTCATCATCTCTCCATCTAGTGTGATCTACAAACGTTGTTGATCTTGTGTCATCATCTCTCCATCTAGTGTAATCTTGGTAAGTTGTTGATCTTGTTTCATCATCTATCCATCTAGTGTAATCTTGGTAAGTTGTTGATCTTGCGTCATCATCTCTCCATCTAGTGTAATCTTGGTAAGATGTTGGTCTTGTGTCAAAATCTCTCAATCTAGTGTAATCTTGGTAAGTTGTTGATCTTGTTTTATTATCTCTCCATCTTGTGTAATCTTGGTAGGTTGTTGATATTGTGTCATTATCGCTCCATCTAGTGTAATCTTGGTAAGTTGTTGGTCTTGTGTCATCATCTCTCCATCTAGTGTAATCCTGGTAAGTTGTTGATCTTGTGTCATCATCTCTCCATCTAGTGTAATCTTGGTAAGTTCTTGATCTTGTGTCATCATCTCTCCGTCTATTGTAATCTCGGTAAGTTGTTGGTCTTGTGTCATCATCTCTCCATCTAGTGTGATCAGCATAAGTTGTTGATCTTGTGTCATCATCTCTCCATCTAGTGTAATCTTGGTAAGTTGATGATCTTGTTTCATCATTTCTTTATCTAGTGTCATCTTGGTAAGTTGTTGATCTTGTGTCATCATCGCTCCATCAAGTGTAATCTTGGTAAGTTGTTGGTCTTGTGTCATCATCTCTCCATCTAGTGTAATCTTGGTAAGTTGTTGATCTTGTGTCATCATCTCTCCATCTAGTGTAATCTTGTTAAGTTGTTGGTATTGTGTTATCATCTTTCCATGTAGTGTAATCTTGGTCAGTTGTTGGTCTTTTGTCATCATCTCTCCATCTAGTGTAATCTTGGTAAGTTGTTGGTTTGGTTTCAACTTCTCTCCAACTAGTATGATCTGCATAAGTTGTTTATCTTGTTTATTCATCTCTCTATTCAATCTTATTGATCATTTACACAGGCGGTTCAGTGTCAAGAGACAAAAGATGTGTTTGGGGTTTTTTTAGCAAAAGTTATACTGACTAAAAATTCAATGGGTCGACCATCTAATGAGAATGTTGCTAGACCAAACTGAGTATGATTTTTTTTTTTTTTAACCGCAGAATGTCTGAGAAGAAAGTGAGTGGAAGAACTAGGTGGATAAGTTGTGTCGTTGAAACCTGCAAAATGATTAATAAACCCATCAACAAGCCTCCGAGTAGCGCAAGACTAGTACAGAAAACTATAACACTGCACTATATGGACTACAACCTGGTATTAGTGAGACGACCAGAAAAAAAGATTACTATCTGCATTATGTTAAATGCTATTGTAATGACTTTGGGATGATGATGATGATAATTACGATAACAGCAACGGTAACTGCGATTAGAAGAAAGAGATGGGCATGGTAATGTTACTGTTGATGCCACAGATAATACATACAGTTGGACTTGTTTCAGTCTGTCAGCCCGGGAGGTACGGAAATAACTGTACGTCCTCGTGCAGTGGCAACTGCATGCAAACGGGCAATGCCACTTCTCGACGGTGTGACCCCATTACTGGTAGATGTCTGAAAGGCTGCATGCCGGGATTTACGGGTGAAACGTGTCATGCACGTAATGTATTCCGTTGTTTCTGTTTCACTCTTCGTCAGTTCAGTGCCGTTTGTTTTTCTTTTGTCTAGTGAACTTACTGGTAGCGAAGCTAGGTTTTTCAAAAAAATCCTATTGGCAGCCCTGGTATCAAAGAGACTGGAGTTGCGTGGGAAACTGTCCTAGTGCTAGGACGTGTAGAGTTCCTCGCTTGAGTTGGGTAGGAAGCTATCCTCCTGACAGGGCTTGTGCTCCTTGCGGTGTTCTGACTCGCGATTGTATGTCGTGGAAATCTAGTTCAACTGGCGCCGTCTCTTGCCAGTTTATCATATTTTTGACTGTAAAATTCAGTGTATTATTCAACATCAAGACCGAGCATGTATATTTCTGAAAGTGTCCCTTTGTCCTGCTAGCCTAATTGTAACTGGTTATTCGGCTTGTTGTAGACACTCGAGGCGGTGTGCCAGCATGTGGGTTGTGTGACCGCAGTATTTGTTTGCCTCCCCTGATCGCTGCCTGTAATTGATTCTAAAGATGCGTGACCAAGTGTTATGATGTAAGCTCTTATTTGCCATTCGAGTGTGGTAATGAAATTTTATCCTGATATGCATTGTTGCATCCTTTGTTGTGGGTGGTGGTAGGTACGGGGATTGGGGCTAAACTAGATGGCTTGGACTCACGAGCAGCAGCTACCGTATTTCCTGCAGCTTCCTTTATTTTATTTGCTCGAGTCCCAGCCAACGTGACGTGGAGCATACTGTCGGCGGTGGCGGTATAGTCCCCGGAAGTTCGCAATTCTGCGGTGGCGATATAGTCACCGGAATTTCGCAATTGACACGTGACTAAGGCCCTGTTAGGGTATATTTTCTGCCTCGATAATTTGGGACCGTTTTTCGGAAGATAGCCGAGTTTTGATTACGACCTCGATTGTGTTGGTTGCAATTTCTGCTGAGACACTGCCGATGATGATGCTAATAATTTATTGTTAGTTTTTCACCGATAATGATAAAGAAGATGATGATAATAATGCAGATAATATAAAGATAGTAATGGTAATTGTGAGAGTCGCCGTGGCAGAGCGGCTAGACGCTCGCCTGCCGGTCGGAATGTCGGGGGTTCACTCCCTGGCAGAGCCACACAAAAATGACTTTGGCTCCCAGGTCGACTCAGCCTTGATTGGGTAACGGGTGTAGTGCCGGGAAGTAAAGGCGGCCAGTGTGATGCTGACCACATTTCCCATTTTGTTCCGATTGGTCTATAGAATTTAGGCGTGGAAAAGGGTCCTTTGCTTTTCTTACTTTACTTGTAATGGTGATTACCAGGAAAAGATAAGTGTGGTAAATGTGACTGTTGATGTCAGGTGTTGGTGCTCAGATATACAAGTCCGACTGTTTCAGCCTGCCCGCCCGGGACGTACGGATACAATTGCGAAAGCATCTGCAGTTTCAATTGCAGACGGGAGGGCACTCATAATGGTCGAGTGTGTGATCATATCACAGGCAAATGTCTGACTGGATGCGAGATCGGATATACCGGCTTTACGTGTCAAACAGGTACGTGTTCCTAAAAAACTCCCAGTCCACTCACAGCTTCCCATTCGTCTTTACCATGACTCTGTCACTCCTAGTCCAATCACTGCCGTCCATTCGTCTCCAACGTGACTCTGAGCTACTTCTGGTCCAATCACTGCCGTCCATTCGTTTTCCACTGAGACTTTGAGCTACTTCTGGTCAAATCACTGCGGCCTATTCGCCTCCACTGTGACTCTGAGCTACTCCTAGTCCAATCACTGCCGTCCATTCTTCTCCACCGTGACTCTGAGCTACTTCTGGTCAAATCACAGCCGTCCATTCGTCTCCACCGTGTCTCTGAGCTATTTCTGGTCAAATCACTGCCGTCCATTTGTCTCCACCGTGACTCTGAGCTACTTCTGGTCAAGTCACTGCCGTCCATTCGTCTCCACCGTGACTCTGAGCTACTTCTGGTCAAATCACTGCCGTCCATTCGTCTCCACCGTGACTCTGAGCTACTTCTGGTCAAATCACAGCCGCCCATTCATCTCCACCGTGACTCTGAGCTACTTCTGGTCAAATCACTGCCGTCCATTCGTATCCACCGTGACTCTGAGCTACTCTTGCCCCAAACACAGCCGCCCATTAATTTCCACCATGACTGAGCTACTCTTGTCCCAATCATAGCCGCCCATTCGTCTCCACCGTGACTCTAACCTACTCCTGTCCCAATCACAGCCACCCATTCGTCTCCAACGTGACTTTGAGCTACTCCTGCCCCAATCACAGCCACCCATTCGTCTCCACCGTGACTCTCAGCTACTTCTGGTCAAATCACTGCCGTCCATTTGTTTCCACTGTGACTTTGAGCTACTTCTGGTCAAATCACTGTCGTCCATTTGTTTCTACCGTGACTCTGAGCTACTCAGAGTTTATAACCAATTGACTTCACGTAGTCAAAAATGACCAGACTTGTGACAGTTCTGATCCGCTCAAAATTGGTGGCAACCCTATTCCGGAACTTCGCCAAGCAGATGACACAGTCCTCCTTTCGAACAGCGTAAAGGGAATAGAAAATTTAATATTGTCTGTCCAAAAGCACAGTGAAGATCAAAATCTGTTCTTGAATTTAAAGAAAACGAAAATAATGTCCACAGATAAAACTGGCTGTCACCCAAAAATAACAATAAATGATGAAGAAATTGAAAATGTCACAAACATATCTAGGCTCTATAATAAACAGCAATGGGGACTCTTCAATAGAAATTAAAAGGAGGATGGCCATAGCAATGCAAAGATTGAACAGCCTTAAAAGTCTATGGTTAAGCACTAGCAAGAAGATAAAAATTATAATTTTGAGAGCATGCATTTTCCCTGTGGCTACATGCGGATGCGAGTCGTGGACTATCTCTCATTCCTTAAGAAAGAGAAAAGGGGTTTTTGAGCTGAAATGCTATAAAAAAAATTATCAGAATATCTTGGACAAAGAAGAGCAGAAATATTGACATCTTAAAAGATCTGAACATCAAGGAAGATTGGCAAATAAACAGCATCCTTTCTCGAAAGCTGAAATTTTTTTGGTCATATCAAGCGCTACAATGAATTGGAAAAATTATAGCAGAAGGCATGGTACCAGGAAGGAGGGGCAGAGGCTCGCAGTAGGTTGAACGTGGTCGACTTTTAAAGAACAGTAACGGTAAAAGACGATTGTCTGAATCTTCCACAGGTTTTTTTTTTTTAAAATCCGCTTAAAGTTCCTCAGGTAACAGGGTCTATAAGGTAGAGAGACGTCAGATGATGACGTCAAATCACAGCCGCCCATTCATCTCCACCGTGACTCTGAGCTACTTCTGGTCAAATCACTGCCGTCCATTCGTATCCACCGTGACTCTGAGCTACTCTTGCCCCAAACACAGCCACCCATTAATTTCCACCATGACTGAGCTACTCTTGTCCCAATCATAGCCGCCCATTCGTCTCCACCGTGACTCTAACCTACTCCTGTCCCAATCACAGCCACCCATTCGTCTCCAACGTGACTTTGAGCTACTCCTGCCCCAATCACAGCCACCCATTCGTCTCCACCGTGACTCTCAGCTACTTCTGGTCAAATCACTGCCGTCCATTTGTTTCCACTGTGACTTTGAGCTACTTCTGGTCAAATCACTGTCGTCCATTTGTTTCTACCGTGACTCTGAGCTACTCAGAGTTTATAACCAATTGACTTCACGTAGTCAAAAATGACCAGACTTGTGACAGTTCTGATCCGCTCAAAATTGGTGGCAACCCTATTCCGGAACTTCGCCAAGCAGATGACACAGTCCTCCTTTCGAACAGCGTAAAGGGAATAGAAAATTTAATATTGTCTGTCCAAAAGCACAGTGAAGATCAAAATCTGTTCTTGAATTTAAAGAAAACGAAAATAATGTCCACAGATAAAACTGGCTGTCACCCAAAAATAACAATAAATGATGAAGAAATTGAAAATGTCACAAACATATCTAGGCTCTATAATAAACAGCAATGGGGACTCTTCAATAGAAATTAAAAGGAGGATGGCCATAGCAATGCAAAGATTGAACAGCCTTAAAAGTCTATGGTTAAGCACTAGCAAGAAGATAAAAATTATAATTTTGAGAGCATGCATTTTCCCTGTGGCTACATGCGGATGCGAGTCGTGGACTATCTCTCATTCCTTAAGAAAGAGAAAAGGGGTTTTTGAGCTGAAATGCTATAAAAAAAATTATCAGAATATCTTGGACAAAGAAGAGCAGAAATATTGACATCTTGAAAGATCTGAACATCAAGGAAGATTGGCAAATAAACAGCATCCTTTCTCGAAAGCTGAAATTTTTTGGTCATATCAAGCGCTACAATGAATTGGAAAAATTATAGCAGAAGGCATGGTACCAGGAAGGAGGGGCAGAGGCCGAACGACACGAAGATGGGCACAGGATATGTGTCTCCTTGAGTATGAAAGTACATGAGGCGGGAAAACTGGCGAGAGACCGAGTTTCTTTCAGGCAGACTGTGATGAGAGCGACGTTCTGCAAAGGACCTAAAACATGATGATGCGTCGAGAAGAAGACACATAGTTCACAGAAAATGTGAAGAAGCAGGCGTGTAAGTCAGGCGGTGGTGGTACTGTATGGTGATATCTTGGGTGTTGCCAGTCTAGCACCGGATGCACATGCATCCTGCTGGTTCAGCAGAGACAAGCTCCTTCATGTTCTGCCGTCGGAATCCACGAGGAAAACATTAGGAAGATAAGGACTGGAAAAACACTGGATACATAATTATAACCAGAGATTGTTAGTGGCCTCGCAGTAGGTTGAACGTGGTCGACTTTTAAAGAACAGTAACGGTAAAAGACGATTGTCTGAATCTTCCACAGGTTTTTTTTTTTTTTTAAATCCGCTTAAAGTTCCTCAGGTAACAGGGTCTATAAGGTAGAGAGACGTCAGATGATGGCACTGTTGCTTCAGGCAAGGCGGATCTACGCGTTCTGGTGAAGCAGTTTGTGACACAGGCTGAAGTGCGTTGCTAAAACGAATGCCTTCATACTTCAACAAATATCTCGAAAACTAATGTAAGGGTTAACACGAATTTGTGCCTGCGGCCATAGATTTCCCATGTCCGTATGGTTTACAATTGCACACGCGCTGCTGTTTTCTTTAAGCGACAATTTTCTTTGAACTCTGTTTGACTATTAATGCCAATACCCATAAAAATTCAAATATTCGTTAAGTTAAATACGACCGGAGCTTGATTGGAAATCAATTCATATGTGCAGCTTTGTTGATTATTATTGATAGCCTATCCCGCACACAAGGAAAAGACTGACAGAGTCTGAAGCTGGAGATAACCACATGAGAGCGAAATATCTATAAAAGGCATACAGTTTGATGTATTGAAATGTTCTACTTTTTCAATTTACTCATTTTACTGTAAGCAAGCTGATTGTTCACCATGAATTGATTTCCGTGTTGTTGTTGTTTTTTTTTTATGTGTCGCAAATAAGGCAAAATGAAAACTAGAGGCTTTTTTGCGTTAAACATCAAATTTCTTTTACATGAACATGCTAACTAACAGGCTGCATGTCAGCTCACAGTTACCGATTTTATAAGTTGAGCAGAGCTTTTGGAACAGACTGTATTGTTATATTTCTCAAACTGGAGGGCAGAACGAATGATTGTGACAGGTCCATTTGATTTTCATCTCTGTTTATGTGTTGAAACACATTGTTTGACTAGGGCGATGAATGCTCGACCAGATAACGTTTTACGATTGAGCGATAACTGCCTGCTGTAAATACTGAAAAAAGAGAGACTTCATTCACACAAAACGCGCAATCTGTATTTTGTTGATGAAGCTTTAATCATGTTCTGATTACTTCGTTAGCATACAAGCCAGTCAGTGACTAGCAGAGAGGTGTTTCAGCAGTGATCTGTTGGTGTCTCGCTGCAACGTACTCGTCAAACACACTTTCAATACTCATTGACGTGCGAACAATTATTAGACTTTGTGGTTCTTAATACGTTAGTGTCCGCACCGAACGAAGGGTAACTCCATTGATAAGTTTGTTGGACTAGTCTACCGTGGTCCAAACAGGGAAGAAACAACTCGGGAGCTACAAGCAACAGTAGACAAAGTGACTGATTGGTGTACAGAAATGAGAGCTGTCCTCCACCCGGAAAAGGCGTCTGTTTTGTGGTGTTCTCTAGACAACAGAATCGTTAAAACTAATGTCCCAAGTCTCACGATAGATGGTAGAGACGTCAACAGAGAGAGCAAACTGAAGTATCTAGGAATTACATTTGACAGGAGCCTGTCATTTAAGGACCATGTTGAGAGTGTTATGACAAGATGCCAAAAAGGACTTAGTGCACTTAAGACTATGGCTGCAATTGACATAGAGCAGAGAATGCTTTTCACACTTTATCAGCACCTGATTCTGTCAGTGGTGGATTATGGCCTGGGATTGCTTACCGTCTCAAAGAGTCAGAATGACAAACTAGAGCGCAAACAGAACGCGGCTATGCGGGT